CAGATCTAATATTCATTATTTAGGTATGCATACTGGTCAGAGAGCCAGTCGTAAGTCCAAGTCATCGGTAAACAAATATGTCGCTAAGTGAGGAGAGGCTGTATCTCTATTTTCTTCATAACTCTGACTTAAACGCTTATACTTTTCCTTGCCACTTTCAGCAACACTCATATACCTACTGGGTGTCATGATTGCTAAGCAGATACAAGACATGGTAATTAAAAATCAAAACACAATTCACAAACACGGCTAGCTCCTAAGACAATGGAACTGAACACACATTCACAAAGGCTGGGATGGTTGTGGCAGGAGTGTCAAGGGTTACAAGGTAAAGTGGTATGTCTCACCCAACTGAACCACAACAAGGCACCAGCTTGAGCTAACAGTAAACATCAGCTGCCCTAGACACATTTCGGAATAAAGATGCCTAATTGTTGCATATGTGCCTTACTTACCAGCTTCTTGGTATTATATATCATTGTCACATTCACTGTTTCTAGATTTGTCAGGGTCCCCTTCAGTGAAAAAGTCTAACTTTAAGTCAGTCAGCCAGTCAGTCAGTAAATCAGTCAAGTCAGTGAGGCAGTCAAGTTAATGAGTCAGTCAAGTCAGTGAGTCAGTAAAGTCAACAAGTCAGTCATCACACAAACTCGTATATTTACCTCGTTCTTTTAAATTGTACAAGTGATGTTTCATTAAGGTTACAGGCTATCTCGTGTCATATCTCTATTTTCTTCGTTAATTCTAAGACTTTAACACTTACATCTTTTCTTGCCACTTTTAGCAACACTCGTATGCCTACTGGGAGCTATGACTGCTTGGCAGATACAAGATATGGCAATTAAAAGATCAAAACAATTCACAAACAAAGCTAGCTCCTATGACAGTGGAACTGAACACGTATTCACGATGGCTGGGATGGGGGTGGTGGGAGTGTCGCGACTGGCAGAGGATGGTGGGAGAGTCGGAGGTGGCAAGGGATGGTGGTAGTTCTCCCCCACTGACCCACATCAAGACAGCAGCTTGAGCTGGGGAAATTTTTTCCTTGCCAGCAAACGAAACCATGTTAAGTTAATTTTACAAAGTGTTGTAAAAATTGTGTCACAATTTTTCAATAGTGCAATAACCAAAACGTGGCAAATAAATCCGTGTAATATAACAGTCTACTGAACTATGAGTGTAGTCTTCAATTGGTTTTCAGCAATACAAGCGTAGCCTTCAACTGGTTTGTAGTATTATGAGCATAGCCTTCATTTGGTTTTTAATACTATGAGTGTAGCCTTCAAATGGTGTTTAGTACAATGCGATCAAAGTTAATACATTTTATTCAAGAATGTGATGGAAGCTTGGTTAATATCACTTATAAAAAAAACTAGGGCTAGAGAGAAATAGAAGTTTGGGAGGGAAAAATTCAGTCAACAAACTTCAATGAAATTGCATAGCTGGTTTGTAATTTAGGGGTTTGTGGAGAACGTGAAAATAGAATGCACACCCTGTCTAGCCAGAGCCATATCCCACAATAACAAATTGATCAATGGGGTACCTGAGCATAAAGTTGTTGGGTAAATCTTTTCCCCTCAACCCTCAGTGAGATCAATGGAATATCAGGCGCACAGACAATGTATAGTAAGATAAGCCTGGTGGGAGAATTTATGAAAATGAATAAATTGAACATTATATTAAGAAAAAGAAAAGTAGCAACCAGAAGAGCAGATGGTATCAACTGTGCATGACACTACACAGTGAAGATAGAAAAAAGCTAAACTTTGTAGAATGAAGCTGAACTTGAGGTTGTCAGTGTGCACAAAAAGCTCACATACAGAAGCAAAGCTCATATATGACAATATTGCAAGCACCGGGTACTGAATGCACAGCAGCACCTTTTGTGCTACCAAAGACTAATATGAAAAAGTACATACTGTCTATGATCTCTGGAGCACACAGGTTATGTGATAATAACTACTTTATACTTACCAATAACACAAAATAGTTACACAAATAACCCGCACATAGAAAAGAGGAGCTTACAGCGTTTTGGTCCGACTTGAACCATTTTTTTTTTATTTATAAAATAGCTACAATAGCAGGTTAATATTGTATATTTCTTATAAATTAACCCTTTCAGGGTCCATCCCGTAGATCAATGGCTTTACGTTCAGGGTCCAAACCGTAGATCTACGCCAAAATTCTAGCGGCGTCAAATTTAGCGCGAGAAGGCTGGTAGGCCTACATCTGAGAGAATGGGTCTGAGTGGTCAGTGTGCACACTATAGAAAAAATCTGGACGCCCGCATGGCATTGTGGGAACACCGCCAAAGTAGCTTTGTTCATCATGCCTAGCGGCAAGGAAGCTCTCACTCCTCCCTCACTCTCCGGGCAAATTCTGACTCTCCTCTTCACAACTTACAGTTCTAAGACTGATGGAAGTGGAGCTGAAGAAGAATTCTATGGTTTTGAACCATATGGTACCATTGTACCATATGGTACAATGGTACCATATGGTACAATGGTACCATATGGTACAATGGTGCCATGTCATACAATGGTATCATATGGTACAATGGTACAATGTGCCATATGGTACATTGTACCATATGGTACATTATACCATATGGTACATTGTACCATATAGTACAGGGTACAGGGACCATAATGGAAATAAGTCTGTCTAATTTTTTTGGGTTATCCTAGGTTCTCCAAACATATGCAGCTAAGTATGATATTCTATGCAACTTTATTTGTGTATACCTAAATAAACTTACTTTGCCACATGCACTTGAATAAGTTTATTCAGGTGTACACAAATACAGTTACATAGGTTATCATACACAGCAACATATATAAAATCCTAGGATAACCCAAAAAAGTCAGGGTGACTTATTTCCATAGGGATCCCTGTTTCTGTACCATATGGTGTCCTGTACCATATGGTACCCTGCACCATATGGTATCCTGTACCATATGGTATCCTGTACTATATGGTACCCTGTACCATATGGTACCCTGTACTATATGGTACCCTGCATCATATGGTACCCTGCACCATATGTTATCCTGTACCATATGTCATCCTGTACTATATGGTACCCTATACTATATAGTACAATGTACCATATGGTACCCTGTAACATATGATACCATTTACCATATGATCAATAGGACGTGTTGGTGGAGTAGACACCAGCCAAGACAGGGAGTGGCGACACAAGCTAGCTACTGACTCAGCAGTTTCCAAGACAAAGCACTTTGTCATCCACCTCAAGTAACATGTCGAGTTCCTGTACATTTGTAAATATATAATAGAACATTACTAATATACAACATTTTTGCATATTTTTGTTGTAAACAATTATTGTAAACAAAATAAAGACGAAAATACTAGTGTGTTTATTGTGCTGAATACAACAGTACCATATAGTACCATATGGTACAATGTACCATATGGTACCATTGCACCATATGGTACCACTGTATCATATGATACCATTGTACCAAATGGTGCCATTGTACCATATTCTACCATATGGTACTATTGTATCATATGGTGCCATTGTACCATATGGTACCATTGTACCATATGGTACAACTGTACCATATGGTACCATTACACACTATAGCACCATTGTACCATATGGTAACGTATTCAACACAATAACAGCACTAATATTTTCATCATTTTGTTTACAATAAACTTGTAAACGAGTTTTGTAAGCAATACAATGATAAACAAATTAGTGCAGTTATTGTGTGAATACAATGAGTGTACACTCAAATCACAAAAAAAGTATAAAAAACATAAAATAAAAAAATGCGATTTTGTGGAAGTCACTGATGTTGCCACCACCGGGTCATTTTGGGTCAACTTCCCGCCGCTGTATCTCGGTAAGTACTGATCAGAAAATTTTTTTTTGTTTTATACCTTCACAAAAATATCTTTAATTCTGTAAGAATTTTTTTTTTTTTTTTTCAAAATTTCTTGGACACTGGGGCACCACTTCAGATTTTAACCTTGGACCCTGAAAGTGTTAAAGCCCATAGTTATGCATAGCACTTCAGGCAGACTAAAACTGTGAATGATGTACTAGTGTGCATGAGAGTAATTTTTTAATCTTACAATTGTCTGTGAGCCACCATTTCAAGACCCTGCTTGACTGTTTGGGTCACTTACCACCCAAGAAAAAAATTAGGACCAGGTAGGTCCATACTGTACATCAATGGTAACAGTGTCTTTGTAAAAAAAAATATTCATTCAAATTATAAGAAAAAAATATTTTTTATTTTTTATTCTATAAAAATTTTGCCACACAGGAAATTTTATTTCCTGGTTAAGTGTGACAATTTAAATATGGGTTAACCTGGGGCTAAAAAATATACAAAATGTACTGGACATATATACATACTACTGCACATGTAATACACTAAATATTCAAAATTACATTGCATAATGTAATAGAAATTTTAGTAAAAATTGAGCATTTACTTAAACACAAAATTAAAACAATATTAAATTGGAATTTAAACTCAAGAGAATTCAAAAGTAAATAAGTGAGTGACAATGAAATAATGGATGGATATACAATTAAACTGTAAAAAATTGGAGCACATGTTGTAATGTTTAACTTGAAAGTAAAGGTATAATGACAATTTAATGACTAAAAATGGTTTTGAGCAACACCAGCAGCATCATAAGACATATTTCAATTTACTATAGAAGTGCATAAGGACTATACTGCACAGAACGTTACTATGTTTCAATACAGAGTATAGTACAATACTGTTATAATGTGCACTTTATTCATGGTATCAAAAGTATGTCTTGAAATATATTCTCCAAGGAAAATTTTAGGATTACTATTAATACTAAAATAAAGCAATTATACAAGATAACATGAATACCCAAGTCAATACATAACCAATTATTGTTACTGCATTTTGGGGTAATCTGGCTTATTCCTTTAATCAAATCACAACTCAAAAGAAAATCCTTAGCAGAGAGAACCAACAATTCAATATATTTTAAAAGGTAATAATGAGACGCACCTTATGTGACTCGTACTCCAGAAAGCAGAAACCTCTGTTCTTCTTCTTATCATCTGGGGAGCTGTAAATTATCACTTCTACCAGACCAGCTGTCAAGTAAATAGTCAAAAATTAAGATATTTTGCTAATTTACCATTTTGAAATTATTTATAATCAGATATTTTCCATCATTCTTATGCAAGCTTATATACATTATAGCAATATAAAGACAAAACTCTGGTAATACTATTGAGCTTTCTAATTCTCATTATCTAAATCTAATTTATTTAGCACCTATATCAGGGGAATATAAATGTGACTATGAAAAACCAAACAAGGGAGAGCCACTGAAAACAAGGGAACAAAAAATAAAGGCTGACCGAGTCATGTTAGTGTATAATTTACAGACCAAATTAGCCATCACTGCTATATAAAATTCCATGCAAGCAACACCACTAGCAACTCAGGTATAAGAGGGCAATGCCATACCATATAACAATCTTTAGTTTACCTTGACAATAGTTTTTCTTAGAAATTATCTAATTTGTTGAAGACATACAAGCACACGAATTACCATAATCTCTTCTTTTTTTTTTTTCACCAAAACTAACTCAGCACCTTGACCTAACCTTGCTCAAATTACCATATTATACAAGTAAATAATAGCAAAGCAATCTAAGTTCAGCTTAAACTCATTGAGCATTATTTAGGCTGACCTTAAAAAATATGAGTAGCATTAAGCAATATTATGCTATTTATAGCAAGATTCAGATCTGCTTGTTAAGTTAGTTCTTGAGGAAAATTAAAATATGACAAACCATGTTAATTCCCATGAAAATACTGCATTTATTAACGAATACGAAAACTTGTTTTTTAGGTAGTCTTGCTTCTCTCACTGATTTACACATTATACAATGTGAATATGTATGTATGTATGTGTGTGTGTGTGTGTGTGTGTGTGTGTGTGTGTGTGTGTGTTGTGTGTGTGGTGTGTGTGTGTGTGTGTGTGTGTGTGTGTGTGTGAGTGTGTGAGTGAGTGTGTGTGTGAGTGTGTGTGTGTGTGTGTGTGTGTGTGTGTGTGTGTGAGTGTGAGTGTGAGTGTGTGTGTGTGTGTGTGTGTGTGTGTGTGTGTGTGTGTGCACGCATTTGTGTGTGCGCATGTGTGTGTGTTTGTGTGTGTGAACACATAGTGGACCCTCGCCTAACAAACGCATCGCATAACGTTAAATCCACTTAGCGATACATTTTAACACAAAAATTTTGCCTCGGCTAGCGCTAAAAAACTCGCTGAACGCGATTCGTTCGAGTTGTGTCCACCTGCAGCATGAGCCCGCCTCACTTGTTCCGTGGGTGCCAGTGTTTACAAGCAAGCTACCACGGTTGCTTCCAAGCATACAATCGGAACATTTCATATTATCACAGCCTTTTTAATGATTGCACCTGCAATATAAGTGACCATGGGCCCCAAGAAAGCTTCTAGTGCCAACCCTACAGGTAAAAGGGTGAGAATTACTATGGATATGAAGAAAGAGATCATTGCTAAGTATGAAAGTGGAGTGCGTGTCTCCGAGGGGGCTAGGTTGTACACAAAACCCCAATCAACCATCGCTACTATTGTGGCCAAGAAAACGAGAGATAGCATCTCTCAAGCGATCATATGTGAAAAGGCTAGGAAGTTGCATGATGATTTAATTAGAAAAAAAACTGCAACTAGTGGTGATGTGAGTGAATTTAAGGCCAGCAAAGGTTGGTTTGAGAGATTTAAGAATCGTAGTGGCATACATAGTGTGATAAGGCATGGTGAGGCTGCCAGTTCGGACCACAAAGCGGCTGAAAAATATCTGCATGAATTCAAGGAGTACATAGAGGCTGAAGGTTTGAAACCTGAACAAGTGATTAATTGTGACGAAACAGGCCTGTTTTGGAAGAAAATGCCAAGCAGGACCTACATTACTCAGGAGGAAAAGGCACTCCCAGGACATAAGCCTATGAAAGACAGGCTTACTCTGTTGATGTGTGCTAATGCTAGTGGTGATTGCAAAGTGAAGCCTTTATTGGTGTATCACTACGAAACTCCCAGAGTGTTCAGGAAAAACAATGCCCTCAAGGCTAATTTGTGTGTGCTGTGGAGGGCAAAAAGTAAGGCATGGGTCACTATGGACTTTTTTCTATGACTGGTTACACCATGCATTTGCCCCCCAGTGAAAAATTACCTAATTTTAAAGAAATTAGACCTTAACCCTTTGACTGTTTTCGACATATAAATACGTCTTACGAGCCAATGTTTCTGACGTATATATACTCAATAATTCTAGCGGCTTCAAATCAAGTGGGAGAAAGCTGGTAGGCCCACATGTGAGAGAATGGGTCTGTGTGGTCAGTGTGCACCACATAAAAAAAATCCTGCAGCACACATTGCGTAATGAGAAAAAAAAAACTCTGATCGTTTTTTTGGAATAAAACGCCGACTTTGAGGTGTATTTTCGTATAGTATTTATCGTTGTATTCGCGTTTTCATGGTCTTAGGTGATAAAATGGAAAACATATTACAGAAATAGAGATGATTTTCATTACTTTTACGATGAAAACGACCTTGAAACTGAGCTCAAAGTAGCGGAAATGTTCGATTTTACCAATGTTCAAGAGTAAATAAATCACACGACACGACCAATACACGTCAACTGGGGAGTCTAATATTCTTTCACTAGTGCACTGATATTATTTATACCATTTTTACAATAATGCAGTCGTCTGCATAACAGTAAATTTTGTATTTTTTTGTATGAATAAAAATCAAAATAGAAAGCAATAATAATATAAGAGGGGCCTAGAGATGTGACTAATGAACAGAGCATATGTTATTTTAGTGCCACGAATGTCTACCTTGTTTATTCTGGACCCTATTTTGAAATTGGCATCTTTTTTATTTTGCGTGAAATTGGCCAAATTGCCAATTTCTGACCACCATATTGGGTAGTCCAAATTAGTAAATGGGAGGTTTCTTGTACTCAGCTGATAGATAAAATGGAGTTCTAAAGAAATAGCTATGAGTTTGGTCAACTGGAACAATGGAATTGGCTGAAAATAGGGCTCAAAGTCGGCGAAATCGCCGATACGTATATGTCGCCGAGACCGCTAACTTCGCGGGAGCATAATTCCACGAGTTTTCGACCAAATTTCGAACTTTTGGTGTCATTACCATCGGGAAAAGATTCTCTATCATTTCATAAGAAAAAATAATTTTTTTTTTTTCAAAAATTGAGCGACATAGAATGACAGTTTCAGAGAGGGGCCTGAAACAGTCAAAGGGTTAAGAGCCTCCTGGTATTAGACAACGCTCCTGGTCATCCTTCAGACGTGGCAGAGCGACTTTCTGCGGAAATGAGTTTCATTAAGGTCAAGTTTTTGCCTCCTAATACCACTCCTCTCCTGCAGCCCATGGACCAGCACGTCATTGCAAACTTCAAAAAAATGTACACAAAAGCTATGTTTGAAAGGTGCTTTGTTGTGACCTCAGAAACTCAATTGACTAAGAGAGTTTTGGAGAGATCACTTTAGCATCCTCAATTGTGTAAACATTATAGGTAAGGCTTGGGAGGAAGTGACTAAGAGGACCTTGATCTCTGCTTGGAAGAAACTGTGGCCAGAATGTGTAGACAAAAGGGATTTTGAAGGGTTTGCGGCTAACCCTGGGAATCATATGCCAGTAGAGGAATCCAATGTGGCAATGGGGAAGTCCTTGGGGTTGGAGGTTAGTGGGGAGGATGTGGAAGAGTTGGTGGAGGAGGACAATGATGAACTAACCACTTATGAGCTGCTGGATCATCTTCAACAGCAAGAGACCAGACCTGAGGAAGCTGCTCCGGAGAAGGGGATAGAAAAATTGAAGAAGTTGTCTACTTCAAAGTTTAAGGAAGTGTGTGCAATGTGGCTTAAAGTGCAAACTTTTTTTGATGAAAATAACCCTCACACAGCTATTGCAATTTGTGCTGGTGGCTATTACACTGACAATGTTGTGTAACACTTTAGGAATGTCATAAAGGAACGGGAGGTACAGGCCTCTATGGACAGATATGTTGTGCGACAGAGGTCCAGTGACTCTCAAGCTGGTACTAGTGGCATTAAAAGGAGAAGGGAAGTAACCCCTGGAAAAGGACTTGCCACCTCAAGTCCTAATGGAAGGGGATTCCCCTTCTAAACATTAACACCATCCACAGTCTCCCCTCCTCCCATCCCATCAATCATTAAAAGATCTTCAATAAAGGTAAGTGTCATGTAACCGTGCATGTCTTCTTCAGTTTGTGTGTATTAAAATTAATATTTCATATGGTAATTTTTTTTTTCATACTTTGGGGTGTGAGGAACAGATTAATTTGATTTCCACTATTTCTTATAGGGAAAATTAATTCAGGTAACGATAATTTCGCCTAACGTTGAGCTCTCAGGAACGGATTAATATCGTTAGGCGAGGGTCCACTGTAATATATATATATATATATATATATATATATATATATATATATATATATTATATATATATATATATATATATATATACAGTGGACCCCCGCATAACGATGGCATCACATAGCGATTATTTCGCATACCGCTTACTTTAATTGCAAAAATTTTGCCTCACATACCGCTTAAAAACCCGCTTACCGATTTTCGTCCGAGACGCGTCCAATGTGCGGCCTGAGCCACGCTCACATGTTCCGCCGGTGGCATTGTTTACCAGCCAGCCTCCGCGGTAACATCCAAGCATACAATCGGAATATTTCGTATTATTACAGTGTTTTCGGTGCTTTTTCTGGAAAATAAGTGACCATGGGCCCCAAGAAAGCTTCTAGTGCCAACCCTACAGCAATAAGGGTGAGAATTACAATAGAGATGAAGAAAAAGATCATTGATAAGTATGAAAGTGGAGTGCATGTCTCCGAGCTGGCCAGGTTGTATAATAAACCCCAATCAACCATCGCTACTATTGGTGGTACAGCTGCTGCTGCTGCTGCACTGTCAGCTGCTGCTGCTTTCTGTAGCACCGTTGTTGGTGTGGCTTATTGAGAATACCAAGAAACAATTAACCCCAGAGGATTTGCCACCCAGGATA